GGCAAATGACGACTAGGTATTCGCAATACATGGCCAACCCCACCCAGCTCTTGACGCTGGACAGGTTCTTCCACTGAAGTCCCCGTTGCACAACGGGACACGGCTTATAATTACCTCGTTGCGGATTCACCAGCACCTGATTACATGAGCTATAGTTCTGAGGAAAAGGTTGCCGAAGACCTGAAGAAGTCTTAGTTTGGCTAAATGTAGAGGCCACGTCTGGCAGTCATATAATAATATATAATATAATATATATAATATATAATATAATAGTAATATAATATATATATACATAATATAATAATGAAACTAGCTATAGCCTGATACAGACGCCCCTGGATGTCCAGGGATATGCCGTTTTGACGCAAAAGGTGTCTCAGATTAGCAACCGCGACCTCATCTGACAGGCTAGTCAGAAAGATTGCAACTTCCAAAAGACGTCAAACGATTCATAACTTAAAGTGCCTATCCAAGGATTGCAAGTGGAATATCCGGTGACTGCATCTCCAGGAGCGTGACCTTGAACTTTCTGGGTGCAAATCGCATGCCAAAGGATAGGATCATCTTGGTCAGTTTATTCAAAAGACCTGCATGTTCTTCTCGAAGGTGAAAACGATATCGCCTGCAGATTCCAGCGATAGTCTCATTGTGTTATCGACAATGAAAGTAAACAGAAACGGAGAATGCGCATCCTTGTAGAACACCACTTCCGGCAAGGAAACTCTTGAGGGGCTCTGCATACATTCTCACACGTCCGAAAGTCTCGTAATACAGAGAAATTACATTTTCAGACTGTTAGGACATTCTCTAGTGGGCAAGCGTGTCAAAAACAGGTCGAGCGCGCCTTATAAATCCAGGAATGCGAAAACTGTTGTTTGTTTGTACGTATGGCGTTGTCCTGACGCTTGACGGAATGTAGGAATTCGGTCAACGCTCAAGATTTTTAATCAAAAGGTTATACGGCAGTGTCCGGCTTTCCTGTTAATTTCAGCATGACTGCTCACTGAACGGAGATTTTGAAAACAACTGAAATAGTGTACAAAAGAAGCGATCGAAGGCGAAACTATTAAACAATGAAAGAAGCTAAACCTCCCAATGTTGCTTACTTTCACTGTCTCATAGTTGATGAGGGAGTCCGTTGCCTGACTGCCAGCGCGACCATCCGCACGATTCATTGCCACTCGGAACTGCGTCCTCCATCGAGTTATCGCAAATGTAAACGATGTATATGCACCAATACAAGTTAGGGCGATTATGCTGGCCACTGTACCGTACTTGTAATACTGCCCGCAGGGACGAAAAATATGAAGAACAAAGCAGACAGACCTTACGACTTTATATACAGTTTATAGTCTATAGTTTACGAGACAAAAAGATGCGTGATAAGTACGTCAAATAAGCACACGATAGTTAGCCCCAGAACTAGATAATTATGCACAGGGGAAGGAATACCCAGTACCTCATGCCACACAGCAAAGTATAAAAACAGTGTGAATATACGTTTAAAATGATACTAACAGTTAGTTTTCGATGAGAATCACACTCAAATTCTGACGAGCGAGATCATTTTAGTGTCGCGGTCATGCAATAGAACAGGCGTATGGTTCACTTACACCAGTGACCAAAGCCCCCTAAGGGCTTAACCCTCTGGAGCTATTCAGGCTACCCTCATTGGAATAGCAACAATTGCTCTATGTAGTTTTAGGTCAACTCAGTTAATTTTTTAGCTGCAAATCACAAGGCAAAATTGAGAATTTCACCCATGTAATGAGTAGAAGGAAGTCGCTCTCTGACCACTAATGAGTAGATAATCAATTCTACTGATAATGGAATCCACTTGGTTGGAGCATATGTTGACATCAGCTGAGTCCTTTGGGATAGGGGGAACGGAGGAGTTGAGAAATGGCCTCTGAAACCTCGAAAGCAAGCATTAAGAAGGCACTGAAGTGCATCACCTGTATTAGGCGAACAGACTTGTGGTTTAAAACAGAAATACCTACACTATATCGCAATTACAGGACACATTTCATATTATTATTAATTTCGTTGTACAGCCTAGCAACCATGACTTACCAAAATGCCGGTAACCAATGCCACCTCCAGTGCAGTGGGGAATAGATTGAACACCATCGCTGTCAAAATGAATTGAATACCTCGAGCACCACGGTCAATTGCTTTCCCCAAAGCTCCTGTTCGTCTGCCCAAGTGGTACGATAAATCTAGATCATGCATGTGACGAAACACTTGGACACCGACTTTATGAATTGAGGACTGAGCGGCCTTGGCAAATACGGCAGTCCGAAGTTCGTTGAGCCCCGAAGAAGTCGCCCTGAATATACCATCTGAATGAGCGGAGTTGGAATATAGACGATACACTCAAGCAAGTAGTCCTGATTGGTGAAAAAATTCCATAGACCGCCTGGTTATTCAAAATAGGCCGAGCACCTACAGCGTCGCAAACATCTAACTGACCTATTGCACGTGTTGCCGTGTTCTAATTTTGAGACAATCAGAGAACAAAACTTAAAGTCTTAAAACTATGTGCAGTACGCAAAGTTTAACATTTTGTATCAGGTAAGACAATGGTTTGAAATCCGGCCCCGATAAGGGATGCCGAGAGAAGACCCAGGCACCAAGTGGTTTTCACTTCCCATCTAGTAGTCTGGATAGAAAGTTTCCTGTCATCATAAGAGTACACACATGAGATGCACAACCGCATAGATGCGCATAAAGGCCACTTGAATGCGAATCGAACCTAAAACTGGCCATGGGCATTCAACAGCCAGTGGACATTTTAATGGAGACTTCGTCCTGTCGGCAAAATCAAACCATGCTGAAAAGTCGAGAGCTATACACCTGTTTCATCTTTATTGAATGAATCTCAAAACTCTGGACAGTCCGGAGCACGTAACCACCCAGTCAGTAGCTTAACCGTTAGGCTACGAGCAGCTGATTAATTCGGATATGGTGTCGCTCATCCTTTAGTCACAGGATCAAGATTAGGTAGTTATATGTACCGACTGGCTCCATGAACAAAGAATTCTCAGATGAAAGTTTCGTTACTTATTGTTTACTTACTTGCTTATATACTAAGAACAGCTCAGACTGAGAATCAAATTCACCCAATGAGTGAAACTTCCATCTGGAAGGTCAATGCTCGAGTAGTCAGTCAAAACATTTAACCACGTAATATGAACCCCATGACTGAAGGATGAGAGGCGACGTATCCTTTCTAAGTGCGAGTAAATCACACTGCTGGCCAGCCATTCGTGGTCGAACCGTTATGTTAAAACTTCTGGTCGGAAGGTCGCGGATTCGATACTTGTTAGAATTTCGTGAGATGTACATTGCTGATGATTCCTAACAAGGATGGAGCAGGTGTACAGCACTTCTCGGCTTTTCGGAATAGATTAGCCCTATTCACAGGACGAAATCTCCATCGAAAATCCCAAATCTCCCCAAACGACCAACAGTTACTGGACTGTATTCAACAATATGCTGCCAATCCAAGTATGACGAAGGTAGACACCAATTCAAAAATGTGTTCATATGTTTGCCAGACTCCATTACAGGGAAACTACTCGAGCCACTGAGCTCACTCAAGTATCCTATATTTCTATTTTCGTCAACACTAGCTATTTACTAGACTCCTGCTAAAGCTTCATGCACGGAGAGCAAATACCGATTAATGGGTTGGTTAAGCGTCGCATTGCACAACTGTAGCTAACTGCAAGTTTTATGGGTTACGTCATGCGTACGTGTAGATGGACAGACATATACTACCGATTTCCGGCCAGACCTAGAACAATTTATGGTGAGAAGGAACATTGGGTGCCAAGTAAGTGTGAAGCCCTGTAGGTTGTTCACGTGTTTTAATCAGCTCAGTGAAAACTAGAATAACGAAGATCATACCTGGCAGTTGCCACCGTTCCTTCAACAAATTTGATCCGAATATATCGACCAAGCACACACATTTTGGAACTAGTGCAGACTTTTTCACGCGTACTGTGGCTTGATTTTTTTTCGGAGATTTGGCGTTTGCGGGAACAATGAAGTGATCCTTGTTTGGCACTGACTGTTCTTGAAAGAATATCGAATCAAGCCAATTCCAAAAGCAGTGAAGTCAAGTGATCATTCTTGTTAACAAGATCCTTCTAGGTGCAGCATTACTTGAGGATACACTCAGCAAAGCCAGCATAAGTAAGACGGATGCTTGGGCAAACATTCGAAGAAAATAAGCCGAGATTGTTGTGAGAACTTTTACTTCATTCTCTGTCAGTGGTTTCCAGCATGGGAGCAGAGATATTGTCAAGGATTTATTCACTTAGTTTTGGTGGAACGAAATACACTTTGTAATCCCTATAGGATCAGCAATTGGCTACGGTAAGGTGGGAGACAGCAGAGCATAACGTGACAGTACAGTTGGCTTCACTTACAGCAAAGCAGTGTGGCGGTAGCTGCTGTGGCTGGATGGATGTCAGCCAAGAACACTGGGACATTTCCCGAGTAGCAATCGATGGCATACTTGAACACAAATGGGACCAACACATTGACAAGCTTGGCTGAAAGCAACAACGACAGGGCAGCGACCACACGTAACCGGATTCTTGGTTGATCAGCAGGCCAAATGTAACTTAACAGCTTGCTGACAATGTACCAATCAGATAGGGACTGAGGGAAGGGATGCATCATTGATAGAAATGATATGCACAAAAACATGAGGATAGTTTTCGACAAACATAGCAAAAAACAGAAACGACAAGAAGCTTCCATCAACCCTTGACTATTGTCCGAATTCGAGTCCGAAATGGAGTGAGAGCGTATTAGTATGCCCAATGTGCGCTCGAGAAATACACCGAAATATAAGCCACACAATTGTTATAAATCCTTCGTGTGATGAAGGGACAACCACTGGATGCGCTTAACCCAAATTCCAGTTCGGAAACTAACAATTCTGGATCCAATTAAGAGATTACAGCGCATCCGAAGACGAAACCGGCTGCTTTTATCATGATTAGATGACACTCCCTCACCGATCAACTCACTTTTTGCGACAAGAGTCAGATACAGACATCCACACACTCTAGTAAAAGTACGTATGAAACTTTTATCATGATGACACTCCCTCACCGATCAACTCACTTTTTGCGACAAGAGTCAGATACAGACATCCACACACTCTAGTAAAAGTACGGTACGTAATGGGTTGGTTAAGCGTCGCATTGCACAACTGTAGCTAACTGCAAGTTTTATGGGTTACGTCATGCGTACGTGTAGATGGACAGACATATACTACCGATTTCCGGCCAGACCTAGAACAATTTATGGTGAGAAGGAACATTGGGTGCCAAGTAAGTGTGAAGCCCTGTAGGTTGTTCACGTGTTTTAATCAGCTCAGTGAAAACTAGAATAACGAAGATCATACCTGGCAGTTGCCACCGTTCCTTCAACAAATTTGATCCGAATATATCGACCAAGCACACACATTTTGGAACTAGTGCAGACTTTTTCACGCGTACTGTGGCTTGATTTTTTTTCGGAGATTTGGCGTTTGCGGGAACAATGAAGTGATCCTTGTTTGGCACTGACTGTTCTTGAAAGAATATCGAATCAAGCCAATTCCAAAAGCAGTGAAGTCAAGTGATCATTCTTGTTAACAAGATCCTTCTAGGTGCAGCATTACTTGAGGATACACTCAGCAAAGCCAGCATAAGTAAGACGGATGCTTGGGCAAACATTCGAAGAAAATAAGCCGAGATTGTTGTGAGAACTTTTACTTCATTCTCTGTCAGTGGTTTCCAGCATGGGAGCAGAGATATTGTCAAGGATTTATTCACTTAGTTTTGGTGGAACGAAATACACTTTGTAATCCCTATAGGATCAGCAATTGGCTACGGTAAGGTGGGAGACAGCAGAGCATAACGTGACAGTACAGTTGGCTTCACTTACAGCAAAGCAGTGTGGCGGTAGCTGCTGTGGCTGGATGGATGTCAGCCAAGAACACTGGGACATTTCCCGAGTAGCAATCGATGGCATACTTGAACACAAATGGGACCAACACATTGACAAGCTTGGCTGAAAGCAACAACGACAGGGCAGCGACCACACGTAACCGGATTCTTGGTTGATCAGCAGGCCAAATGTAACTTAACAGCTTGCTGACAATGTACCAATCAGATAGGGACTGAGGGAAGGGATGCATCATTGATAGAAATGATATGCACAAAAACATGAGGATAGTTTTCGACAAACATAGCAAAAAACAGAAACGACAAGAAGCTTCCATCAACCCTTGACTATTGTCCGAATTCGAGTCCGAAATGGAGTGAGAGCGTATTAGTATGCCCAATGTGCGCTCGAGAAATACACCGAAATATAAGCCACACAATTGTTATAAATCCTTCGTGTGATGAAGGGACAACCACTGGATGCGCTTAACCCAAATTCCAGTTCGGAAACTAACAATTCTGGATCCAATTAAGAGATTACAGCGCATCCGAAGACGAAACCGGCTGCTTTTATCATGATTAGATGACACTCCCTCACCGATCAACTCACTTTTTGCGACAAGAGTCAGATACAGACATCCACACACTCTAGTAAAAGTACGTATGAAAGTATATATATATATATATATATATATATATATATGCATATATATGATAAAACAATGGAAAACAACTCTACTTTGCCAAAGTTTCGAGCGAGTATGGGTAACAGCGAAGAAGGGATTCTAGTACGATATGTGGAAGCTGCACCAACCCAGACTACTCTTGCATCCAAAAATTCCGAAACTAATGGATAAACGTCGCCGAACGGATCAGTTTTGCTAAGTATACACGAGAGCGATGCTGCATAATGAAACCTACCGTGCTTGTTAGTGACAGCTGTGTAATCAAGCTCATTTAGGAAGTATCTTGTGACAGACGAGGCAGTGCAGCTAATGCTGCTGTCTAGGTACGAATATTGATTACTATGAACTAGCGATATGACGATGACTTATTCCTTAGCACTAGGCAGATGTCTAAGATTGACAGAGGTATTGTGCTACCAATGTGCAAGTGTGTCGATTCAGTTTAAAGAGTGAACGTTCAGACGACAGGTTTTCATAACCACACTGCCTCCGTCAGTGTGGGTTCAGACGAATATGATATACTTAACACAACAAGGGCTCTTTACTTTGGGCAAACGAAGGTGACCAACGATGAGCAAGAGGCAGATAAACTCATGAATAAATGTATTACTTTAATACCAGCTGTGGCACCCTTTCAGTAACTACCTGCTATGCCAAAGGAAGAAGGCGCAAGGGCTGGGATACTGCCGGGTTACCCATTCTTTGGCAGCAGTCAAGATGCTGAGGTTGGGTTCGAATCACGGACTTGCTGGTACGTAAGCTAGCACCTTAACCGCTGAGATAGCTCGAGCCCTTTAATGCCATCCGGTGACGGATGTAAATCAAGCATCACGTTTGTCATTTGCGTAACAGTAAAATCAACTTTGGCCAAAAACTTGGTACGCTGTTTAGTGTGGAAGAGTTTCTTCGAAATCTGGATTCACTGTCTAATAAATGGACCCGTTTTTCTTGAAGTACAATCTGAGTACACATTGCGCTGTCCGCTGACTGTAGAAAAATGATGCAGTATGAGCGCGAAGCGATGGATAAAGATATGCTTTTGTCTCGGCGCTGACACACGCAATATATGTGTTCGTAGATCTACGCGCAATAATGCAACAAAAATCTCAGTAACTGAGCGGAGTGCGCGATGTTTTTGGGATAGGGTTTATAAATTCCTTCACAGAAGTTGTGACACCGATGCGGCTGAAGACAAACGGGAGCCGAAAAGAAACAGAGATGCCAAAAACAAATATAGACAGTATGCAGACAGTATATAAGCAATATCAGAAAATCCTAAGAGGAAAACCTCATCCTCAGTCTGACCTCATAAGATGTCTTCACGGGTTCATCGAAATTTGTCGGCTTCACTAATCAGTATCAGGAAACTAAGTTAAGACAGTAGCTTGTGGCCAATGTGACGCACAAATCTGGCCAACAGACGCCAACTACCTGATATTGAAAGTAGTACGTTGGTCTCCTTTTGGCCAATTAAAATGCAATCGTCTCATCACCACTATGTAATTCACAGTTGGTAACTCAAGCACAAGCTGAAACAAAAAGCATGGAACTGATAGCATCAAACTTCTTACCCTTTTTGGTGCAGTAGCAAATGGTTGAGCATCCTGATCACCGGATGGATGTGTATGTTGTTTGTGTTTGCTTGATACAAGCATATCATCCTGATCCAGCCGGCCACGAAATAAACTGTCCCAACTACGACGACTCAACGAAGAAGAATGGCGTGTAAAAACTGAAGTGGTGGCAGATAACGGGTATTGGAATCGTGAGTCAATTAATGAAGCCACGTAGACCTGACGACCAAATGCTCCAACCGACGACAGTGAAATCTGTGGCGCATTCCTTCGTAAAATCCTGTGCAGCATGACCTGTTTCGGCCGACACAAGCTTCGCTGGGTACTTGCCGAAAAACAACGGAGCAATCAGATCATTATGGAGCCTAAAACAGCACAAAAAGTAGTCAAGCAACGACGAATAGAAATCAAACGAAAAACGCGTAACACACACAGTCATGTGCAGATGTTCAAACAAAGACTGAACATCACATTAAGTTCTAAGACAAAAGTTGAAATGAGGACAGTAAAAAAGCAAATGGTCCGAAAAAAATGTCACGACCTTCTGAGTCAAACCCAAAGAATTCTGCAGACAAAAACTCTAGAATAACAGAGAGAAATATTCAGGAAACTAGAAGGGACCGCATATCTGCCGATCAAAGTGCAAAGGCGGGTCTAGTTTGGGAGATGGAAGGTTGGTCCACAACAAACTTGGTGGATATATCAAAAGGGCTGCTATCTGCTGCAAATGGTAGACAGCCATATGGGGACCACGGCCCGACCTATGGGAGCGCTGCGTGCTTCATCAATCTAAGTCTCTGGTTTGGGATCCTAGTAGACAATCGGTTAAAAAGAATGAGCCTAAAACAGAAGAGTCATCATCATCATCATCATCATTGTCAGCTGTAATAACCGCGTACTCGTCGTACAGTGGTTGTAGCTGCCGCAGTTTCGTTCACCGATGGTTTGGGGGAAGAGGGAGATGGCTGCGCATTGCAGGCGGGAGCTGATAAATTGATGCATAAATCCAGCATTGTCAGTGGGCTGTCAAGTGGGGGGTTGGAAAAGGAGCTATGCATTGAAGGCAATAGCCTTCATGCACGAGCGCCATTGAGGGCGCGATTGGGTCATTTCTGAGAATGTCTCTAGCCATTGATGTGGCCCGTCTCGGGGTTCCCATCCAGGAAGACGGCAGTGACCAGCGCAGCTGAATTTGCTGGTAATGGTTTCCATACTTCGCTGCCAAGTGATAGTTTGGCCGCCTCTGGCTCTCTTCCACTCTTCACGCGGTTGTGCGAAAAGAGCCCTTCGAGGAAGTCCGTCGAGTGGCATACGCAGCACACGGGCAAGCCAGCGCAACCTGTGCAGTGTGATCAGTTCACCTATCGAGGGTGAGTTATTTCTCCCGAACACCATTCGACGTACTTCAGCATTGCTGATCCGGTGTCCCCACCAGATCCGGACAATGCTCCGAAGACATCGATGGTCAAACACCGAAAGTCTTTTGACGTCCTCGGCGCGCAGCGACCAGGTTTCTGATCCATACAGTAATGTGGAGCGCACCGCAGCATTGTAAACTCGACCCTTGACAGAGAAGCTGATGTCACGCCTACGCCACAGGTGACGTAGATGCGCAAAAGCTGCTCTGGCCTTCCCAATCCGGATGGTAATTTCATCGTTCGCCAGACCACCGGGACTGATACAGCTGCCCAGGTAAACAAATTTGTCTACTACCTCAATCGGTTCACCGCAAGCATGAGGCTAGGGTTCGAGCCCACCCAGTCTTGCAGTAGCACTTTACACTTTGCAGGTGTGAAGCGCATACCAAACCGAGAGGCAGAATTATTTAGATTATTTAGTATTGTTTGCATTGCCACAGGGTCAGATCCCAGAAGAGTTATGTCGTCTGCGTACTCGATGTCTGTGAGCGGAGGTCCAGGGAGCACTTCGACCCCACAGGCATTAGAGGCTGGTAGTGCGTCTTCCATGATCGTATCAATGACGAAGTTGAAGAGGGAAGGTGAAAGAGGACAGCCCTGTCGGACACCACTGGATGTGATGAACTCAGGAGAAAGCTTCCCGTAGACCT